TCTTTAAACCATTATCTGCTAACAGCATGAAATGTGTACGTGGTAGGCATGAGATTCATCAGTACGTTCAGATGTGCATGCACTTCAGAGCTTGTGTGGTCTGTTTGTTTATTGTGTGCATCTTCTAGACCAGTGATCACCAATCGGTTGATCCTGGAGCCTCTGCCAGTCGATTGAGATCTCCGGGCTGCTAAAAGTCTGGCGGCTGGCTGCTGGCATGTCCCCGGGGGGAAGATGGGTGAAGTGACGCCACGCACCATCCCTGCCCCCAGCACCATCGCTGCAGCCCCCATTGGCTGGGAACCAGCCAATGGGAGCTGCAGGGGTGGCACTTGCGGGCAGACGCAGTGCACAGAGACCCTCTGCAGAGATGTGCCAGCCAGCAGCCACCCACTTCCGGGAGCAGCATGGGGCCAGGGCAGGCAAGCAGCCTGCCCGAGCCCCGCTGCGCCGCTGACCAGGAGTTGCCTGTGATAAGCGCCTCCCGGCCACAGCCTGCACCTTGCACCCCAATCCCCTGCCCCAGGCTCAGCCAATGCTCACCCCACAGTTGAGAATGTTATACTGATTTGTGACAATCCCTGGAGGATTTTGGATCTATAAACCACAAATGACACTAATAAAAAGTAAAACTCATGAAATGTCCAATGGATTCTATGAGATCAGGTGCCGTATGACCCCGGCACACAAACTCCCTCCCAGAGCTTGCAGCCCTCACTCCTGCACCCCAACCCCCTGCCCCAGCCCGGTGAAGGTGGGGGAGAGCAAGTAATGGGGGGGGGGAAGAAAAAAGGAGTGAGCAGGACCAGGCCTCAGAGAAGGGGATCCTTGGTTGATCTGTAATTCAAAAAGCGATCTTGTGTGTAAAAAGGTTGGAAACCACTGTTCTAGACTAATACATAGTGTTACTTCAGAAAGCTTTGCATATACGCACAGACTAATGTATTGTCATAATACATATCTCATGCAATGTATTATATTTTCCTAATAAAAACAAGTTATTTTTTATATCTATTTGAATGATACAAAAGTAGGGTGAAAATAGGGAAAAAATGAATACTTTTTGTAAAACAAGATTTTTTGGTAAAAATCGGTTTAAACTGAAAACGAAGGGGCATAGCTATGAGTACCATGGAAAGCTACACAACTTCCTGTCACAAGCATATTCATATAAAATCAATCAATCAATCTTGAAAGTTTGTTAGAGGAGAATTCATCAAAACAAGTGTCAGGGAGCACTAACCCAGTCATCTCAGAAAAGAGACATTATTGTAGTACCTAGAAGCGGTAGTCATGGAAGAAGACCCCATTGTGCTAGGCACTGTATAAATACAGAACACAAAGAAGTCCCTGCACCAAAGAGCTTACAACATACGTATAAAACAACAGAAAACAGATGGATACAGACAGTAGAGTACAAAGAAACCACAAGGCAAAATTGGTCATAATAGGCAGTTGCCACAGCCTGCTAGCAGCCTAAAAGTTGTCAAGTGTTTTGTACACTGAAAGGAGAGTGTTAAGGAGAGTTTTGAATGAGGTTAATGACAGAGCTTTGAGAATTTTTACAGCATGAGGGAAAATATGGGAGAAGGCACAAAGGTGCTTGTTTGAACATTTAATGAGTGGGTGATGGAGGCTGGTATCATGCCTAATCAGAGGTGGGAATCTACATCTCAGTCTGCATGAGAAATGATAGATATGGTGGGGATAGGCCATAAAAGGCCTTTAAAGTAAAGGTAAGTTCTGTTTGATGCAACAGAGAAGAGGGAGCCAATGGAGGGATGCAAGGAGAGCACGAAAGGATAAGAAAATGACTTTTGCAGCAGCATTCTGAATGGATATGAGCAGTACAAGGTTGCATTTGTCAAAGCCAGAGAAGAGGACATTACTGTAATCAAGATGAGACCTGTAGCGGTGCAGATGGATAGGAAAGGCTTTATCTTAGAGCTATTACGCAGCAAGAACCTACAAAATGTAGATATAGCCTGGATGTGAAGACCTAGACAGAGGTCCAAATTAAAGAGGACACCAAGCTCATGGGCCTGAGTGACAGTAGGATGGTGGTGCTGTCCAATGATCAAGAAAGGTAGTGGGGGAGGAGACTAAGAGCTCTGTTAAAGTCATGTTAAGCTTGAGTTGATGGCTAGACATCCACAAAAAGTGGTTAAAGAGACAGACCTTTGGACAGAAAGAGAGAGATCTGGAGTAGAGAGGTAGATCTGCAAGTCATCAACAAAGAGACAGTAGCTGAATTTGTGTTTGAGGATGAGATGACCCAGAGATAAGTGTAGAGGTAGAAGAGAAAGGACCAAGGACAGAGCCCTGTAAACTGCCCACTGAAAGCCAGTGGGCAGATGAGGATTCTCCAAAGTTCATGCTGAAGAAGCTATTAGAGAAGTAGGACAAGAATCATGATATATAAAGAGATTATAAAAGTTAAGGGATGTCAAGATTTCAGGAAGAGTGTGGTCTGTATTGAAAGCAGCTGACAGATTGAGGAGGAGGATGGAGCACTGGTTTTGAGCTTTGACTAGGAAGAGGTCAAAGACTTTGGCGAGAGTGGTTCCAATGGAGTGCAAGGAGCAGAAGCCAGATTGGAGAGGACCTAGGATTCAGAGTCTAAGGCCAGACGTGACACTATAATCATCTAGTTTGACCTCCTGCACTGGATGGATCCGGAGGTCAGGAACTCCAAACAGCACATTCAATGATCTTCTAAAAAGAAGAAAGAAGGTATGGTAGTTGGAGAAGCAAATGGATTTTGGGGGTGGGGGTCAGAGGGAGATGGATGTTTAAAAAACAGCCTAAAACATGCTTGTATTGTGAGGGAAAAAACAGAGTAAAAGCTGAAGGAGAAGAGTATGGGAGGGAACAAGAGTGGGCATGAGTGAGATGGGGCACAGTCACTGGGGCAAAGGGAGGGGTTAGAGAAGGACAAGAAACTTCTGTCTGTGACAGCAGAATAGGGGCAGGTCACAACTCATTTTGTCAGTTTTCTCTCAGAAGAAATCAGCAAAATCCTGTGCATAGATAGAAGCAGAGGCAAAAGCAAGGAAGGATTTTTGAGGAGTGAGTCAAGGCTGCAAAAAGGCAACTTGGAATGAGGACATAGGATTTACATTTGAACCCAATTTCTAATCCTAAATGGAAAAGATTAAGATGAGGGCCCTATATGGCCCAGGATGTGTCACATATCAAGGTTATTTAACAAACCACATTAAGTATCTTACACTATTTATTTACAGTAATGTTACCTTGAAGATAGCTAATTATATTTGTCTTTAGTATTCAGTTACCTAAAATGCCCAAAAGAGTGGTGACTTCAACACACACACACACACACACACACACACTCTCTAACCCCATCCCTAGAAGCCTGGACCTTCTTTACATTACTCTGAAGCGCACAGTGCAAGACATTAGCATAAATGTCTCTCTATTATCTGTATGTTTTTGTTTGGCTTCCAATTTTGATTTTAGTGCTTACCCTAGGGCACACTGACACAATGCTTCACAGTTTGTGTTATGTTAAAGGTTTCTATGTATCTTCCACTTTGGAGATACACATTAAGGCTAGGTCCACACTGCACACAACTTACAACGGTGCGGCTCTGCCACTGCAGCCATGTCACTGTAAGGTGTGCTGTGTGGCTGCTTTTTTTCCAAAGTAAAACTACCTCTAACAACGGTAGTATCTTCGTCACTGGGAGCGTGCTTCCGCAGATGAAGCACTGTCCACACCAGCACTTTTCATTGCTAGAACTTTTCTCATTCAGGCGGGTGTTTTTTCACACCCCGGAGCGACAAAAGTTTTAGCAACAAAAGTGCCAGTGTAGCCAAAGCCTAAGACCTACATATGGTCTTTCCTAAAACACCCTTTCCTAAAACTCCTTAGGAAGAAGGGATAAAACCAATTCCCTTGCCCTCACAAATGTATGGCTATACAAAAGATGCCTAGATTTCCCCTAACCCTACAAAGCATATTTCTTAAGTGCTAGACATAAAAGTGTGGACACAGCACTGAAAACAATAGCTGAAATGGGGATTTTATAGCACTACTATATAGACAGGCCAGGGAAGGGGCATAGGAACATGGTACCTGATCACTACCTAGAAAGGGGTGAAACACCAGGAGGCACCTAACCCCAAACAGGTGAGAAGAGAAGGACTGAGCTTCCTTCTTTTCACATTTTTGGGTTCAAGTGATAATTAAGCAAGTGGCAGCTCTCACAGGTCTCTTTTACACTGCTATGTAACTTTTCACTATGAACTAAACTGGGTGGCTAATGGAAACATACATGTATGTTTTGTCCACTTTCTGAATGTGAACATGGTGTATACCTACCAAGCAAGCTAGACTCTCTACAAAAGGATGTAGTTATCATCCCACATCGGGGGTTTTAGCAGCAAAGGAATAGCTTTGCTCCTGGGGCAGTAATAAATAACACTCACCTCAAGGGGACTTCCTTACCAGTAGGCTGGCAGACGAGGACTCAAGAGACAGCACCTGGCCCGCACACCCTACACCAGGAGTTCTCAAACTGGGGGTTGGGACCCCTTAGGGGGGTCACAAGGTTATTACATGCTATGTGAAAGGAGTCACCAATACAGAAGTTTGAGAACTGCTGCCCTACACCAATAGGCCTGTGCCCACGCCAACTCCCAACCCCCGAGTTCCATTACTCCCATGCTCTCGCCTCCTCAAGAGCCGATTCCCGACAGACCCGGGCCCAGGTGCCTGCCCCTGGGCGGATGTCAAGTGGCTCCCCCATGGACGGGAGGGCAGGGAAATAGCCGGCCCCACTTAGGCCCAGCCGCTCCCTTTGTCCAGTGGCTCCCTCCGCGGTAGCCGGGACTCGGGGAGGCGGCAGAGAGGAAGAACTCCTCGACAGGACCCATGGAGTGCCCCCCAAGACTATGCCAGGCCGGCTCCACTCCAGGACCCACTCGACCCAGACCCTTCCTCCGTACAACTGCGATCCCGACCACGTCCCCCCTACCTTCGTTCGCTAAATCCGCCATTTTACTTCCTCAATCACTCCCAGAGTGCAGCGCGCGACTGGCCGGACTCCGACTTACAACAGACATAACGATGGGGCGCATGCGCGGCGTGTCCCGCGCCCCAGTCCAGGCAGGAGACACTGCGCATGCTCTGGTGGATATGGCTCTTCACAGTCGTAGTACGCATGCGCTGAAAACAACGGTTCCCTTCATTCCGCTGCTCGCGGTTAGAAAAATAGTGCGCCTGCGCCAAACCCACCAGCTACAGGAATATCAGAGACCCTGAGGGAGGTGTGGAGTCCGACTCCGCATCCGGGGTAACATGGAGCATGCCCACAAATACACACTCCACATTTCATAATCCCAAACTACATAATATCCCTCCCCGCCTCTTCTTGGGGGCCGGGGCTGGGCGCAGAGGCTCAGGCGTGGGACCGCTATGCTCCAGCCATGGTAACACCCAGAGACACCAGTACCACAGTGCGGGCGAGGCCCTAGAGCCCCCGATCCAGTGATTTCCCTACACCCCCCCTGAATTTTCCCAACACCCCCCCCAGTTTTGTTAACTAGTTACATGCCAATTTAGTGACTGTTTGGAAATTTGAATTGAAATTGAAACATTAATACACACTTTAAAAGCATATACAGTGTATGATAAAATACATGTATCTGAAAAAGTATAATAGATTTGAAAAGTATGAACATAGACTAGCTTCCGTATACAGCTGTTTTTTATGACAATGTCAGTGCATTCATTTCGGTGATGTTGGCTAACCTAATAATTTCAAATGATGATTTGTAAGCGAAGTCTAAATGAGCTCTCCCTGACAGCTAGTGATGATCTGGGGCTGCAGGGAAAGGCTTCAGGACCAGACTGTATTTACATTCACACCTAATCTACCTAGGTACCCAGCAAACAGAACTGTGTTGCCCAAGTGATAGATTTTGGTTGGGGTTGGGTTACAAATCACTTGAATGCAGGGGGGCTAGGGGTAGGGATGAAATGTTGTTGTTCTTATTGAATGAGTAAAGGGCAATAGAACTGTACTTAGCCTGTGCTGATTGAGGGCATCAAGAGAGAGGGTGGGGACCTGTCCCTCTCCACTGTTTAAAGACAGAGCTGATTAGGCTCCCTAGATAGTCTTTTGTTCTGTTAAGTGACCACTGCAGCTGAAGTCACTGATAATCAGGTCTAAGTGCTTAGTCCTGCTGTGGGACAGTGTTTCTGTGGAAGAGACAGCCCAGACTGCACTAGCAGGGAGGTTCCCCTCCTGAGAGCTCAGCTGAAATCACTGAGAGCTGGTGGAACCTCAAGAGACCAACTCGCAGAGGTCACAGTGGCAGGTGGCAGCAGAAGGTGACTGTGCAGGGCCATTGGCAACAGAGTGATGGAGTGAACGGTGGCACAACAAACAGCAGTGGCCAGAGCAAACAGTGAGCAGCTGGAGGAACGAGCAAGGTGCCTTCTTGCCCCCCACCTGGGAGGTGTACTCATGTGAAAGCACCTCTGAACTCTGAGTCTCCACTGACCAAGGACAACACCGGTGAGCGGGGTGCGGTGGAGGGAAAAGTGAGGGGCACGTTAAATAAACATTTGTTTGTTGGACTATATTTTAGTGACTTTGCTCCAGAATGCTAGATTTGTGACTGGGAATGGAAACATATATATATATGTAACCCTTCTGCCCATCTAAGTTGGCAGCAACAAGGGCCGGGTTCTGTATCTAGGGGTTCCGTTTCAATAACGGAATGCAAAACCAGCTCGAGCCCCACCCAGTGATCTGGGACAATTACATACCACCCCCTGGGCGCCTCTAAGAGGCAATACTTCCCCTCTCGCAAGCATGGAGTCTGAGTGTAGCAGAAAATGTTTAATAACATGAGGTAAACGACATCAGCATTAAATTGGAAAAACACCACAAACAGGATTCATAACACAAACCATGAGCAAAAGACCCACCCCAGCAAATTGGGCCGTGTCCTTTCCCTTTGGTTCTTGAATCCAGCCACCCAAAAATCACCCAAAGTCCCAAAAGTCAACAACCCCCAAAGTCTCTGTCCCTGGTCAGTGCAGCCCCAGAGTAAAAGGGGGGCACGCAGGGATCACCTTACGTGACCCGAGGCCAGCCGGCCGTCTCTCCGTGGGGTTCCGCCGCAGCCTTCACCACGAGCCAGTCCACTTCCTGCCGTCCCACGAACTGCTCTGCTCTACGAGCTGCTCCGCTCCGCTCACCGACCTGTGAGCCGCTCCAGCCGTCCCCGCAAACAACTCCGTTCGCCGTTCCTTGGGCCGCTCCAACCGGCCCCACAAGGCTCCGCGCCGCTCGCTGCTCCACTAGCCATCCCCGCAAACTGCTCCACCAGCCACTTAGCAATATAGCTTCAGGCTCCCCCACTCACTCAGTGATCTCAGCTTTTAATAACTTTAGCTCTTTTGTGATTTCAGCTCATAGTGGGGGAGCCCTAGTGCTGGTGCACCATTGGCCCAAAGTGAATTCAGCTCAGCAATTTATAACTAGACTCCTAATGGAATCAAAGTTAGCTCTGACATTCAACAGTGGAGAGAGAAGATGGTGCAATTGGTGTTTTAAGCCCTCCAGGGGGACCTATACCATCAGATACAAATACCCATCCTTTCTCAGTTCACTGGGTTGTGGAATCCATGTCCCTTGTCTAGCGAGTGCTACTTAGGTGATGGTGAGACACTGTCATAAAACAGTTTCATTGTCCTTGATTCACATAATCAGGGTAACAACACTTTATTCCTCCTGCCCCAATAACAGAGAAATTGGGGATCCCACCTCATCCAGAGTAACCACTATCAGTTGCTGTTGTCTCATGCCAGGCGGGTGGGTGTGCCTAGGCAAACAAGATCAGCCCCTGGAGTTCTTTTCCACACTTGCCATAATTCACCACCAGATGTCAGGGTAGAGCTCATCCTGACTCTGCTTGCATATATATATATATACCGTGTTTCCCCGAAAATAAGACAGTGTCTTATATTAATTTTTGCTCCCAAAGATGCGCTAGGTCTTATTTTCAGGGGAGGTCTTATTTTTCCTGGAGCTTTGGGGCCTTATATTCCGGGGTGGCCTTATTATTGGGGAGGTCTTATTTTCGGGGGATGTCTTATATTACAGCGAGAGGCAAAACTGGAAGTAGGTCTTATTTTCGGGGATGTCTTATTTTTGGGGAAACAGGGTACATAGTTTCCTAGTAGGCCAAGATTTTTAAAATGCATTATTTGCCAATTTATCTCACATTGTTGCTATCTTGAGAGGTCATTATGTTGGGGAGTTTCTGTACTAAACATTTTTATTATTATAATTAATTTTTACATAAGAATGGTCATACTGGGTCAGACCAATGGTCCATATAGCCCAGTATCCTGTCTTCCGACAGTGGTCGAGGCCAGGTGCTTCAGAGGGAATGAACAGAACAGGGAATCATCAAGTGATCCATGCACTGTTGCCCATTCCCAGCTTCTGGCAAACAGGCTAGGGACACTCAGAGCATGGTGTTGCATCCCTCCCTATCCTGGCTAATAGTCACTGATGGACCTATTCTCCAGGAATTTTTCTAGTTCTTTTTTTAATCCTGTTATAGTTTTGGTCTTCACAGCATCCCCTGGTAAAGAGTTCTACGGGTTGACTTATGTTGTGTGAAGAAGTACTTCCTTTTGTTTTTTTAAAACCTGCTGCCTATTAATTTCAGTGGGTGACTGCTAGTTCTTGTGTGAAGGATTAAATAACATTTCCTTATTCACTTTCTTCACACCAGTCAAGATTTTATAGATCTTTATCATATCCCCCCTTAGTCGTCTCTTTTCTAAGCTGAAAATTCCCAGTCATTTTAATCTCTCCTCCTGTTTCATACCCCTAATCATTTTAGTTGCCCATCTCTGTACCTTTTCCAATTCCAATATATCTTTTTTGGGATGGGGTGACCAGATCTGCACACAGTATTCAAGGTGTGCACATACCATCGATTTACATAGAGGCAATATGATATTTCCTGTCTTATTACACTGGTCTACAATTTTTGAGAAGTCGTCTGCTTCAGAGATAAAATGTGCTATTTATTATGTATTTTGATGTGCTGAATTCAAATATGACAATTAGAAACAGTAGCCAGTTGTTTTAAGATATTTAAGTTTTTACATTTTATGTCTATGTATATTGTGTAGATAGTAGAGTTTTAATCATAAATTGTAAACCTAGGTCTTTTCATGTGTTTATGGTTGCTTTACATGATAATATTTCACCTGTCCTGTTTATGTAACACTTTAAAAATCAGCAAAAGGGTTATATAAATAAAATGTATTATGAAACAAAAGGCAAAAAACTATTCTGTACATAGTTTAGTTCTATTCAGTGTCTACTCGGCGCTTCTTGGCTTGTCTCTTGTATTCATTAAATGGAGCATCCCTTGTCTCTGTCCAGCAATAGTCTGCAAGCATTGATGGGCTCCATTTGCCCTGATAGCGTTTCTCCATTGTTGCAATGTCCTGGTGAAATCGCTCGCCGTGCTCGTTGCTCACTGCTCCGCAGTTCGGTGGAAAAAAATCTAGATGAGAGTGCAAAAAAATGTATCTTTAGTGACATGTTGCAACCAAGGCTTTTGTATGCCTTGAGGAGGTTTTCCACCAACAACCTGTTGTTTCTGCCTTGTTGTTTCCGAGAAAAATTATTGCCACTAACTGGAAGGCTTTCCATGCCGTCTTTTCCTTGCCACGCAGTGCATGGTCAAATGCATCATCTCGAAGAAGTTCACGAATCTGAGGACCAACAAAGACACCTTCCTTTATCTTAGCTTCACTTAACCTTGGAAATTTTCCACGGAGGTACTTGAAAGCTGCTTGTGTTTTGTCAATGGCCTTGACAACGTTCTTCATCAGACCCAGCTTGATGTGTAAGGGTGGTAACAAAATCTTCCTTGATTCAACAAGTGGTGGATGCTGAACACTTTTCCTCCCAGGCTCCAATGACTGTCGGAGTGGCCAATCTTTCTTGATGTAGTGGGAATCTCTTGCACGACTATCCCATTCGCAGAGAAAACAGCAGTA